GTCAAGCGCAGATGATGACCACAGATTTCCAGAAGATTTTCCCTATGGGAGAAAGACTGTATATTGGATTGGCAGGACTGGCCACCGACGTGCAGACGGTGTAAGTGAGACTCCCGCCCGCCCGTGCGTCCCCATACTGAGCCTCTAAGAGGCATATTTACCATAAATACTAAGCGGCAGCTTATGCTGAGCATAAATGTCTGTGTTTATCCGTGGGGGAGGGTATAATAGCTGGGTGCCAGCACTCCTTTTCTTGGTCTCCCTTCAGTGGGAGTTTTTTAAATGAAACTGCATGTGATTTAAGATCACATCACTACTAAGACTTAATAACTTCAGGTATAAAAGGAGCTGCATCTAGAATACCTACCTGCCTCAGGCGTGCGTCAGGAGCTGGTATCTGTCAGCGTGCAGTTCAGACCTGGGTGCAGATGAAAGAAAAAGGAACCTGCTTCTGCTTTAATGCTGATTCTCATCTCTTGCAGTGCCCAGAGACTGAAGTTCAGGCTGAATCTCTACGAGCTGAAGGAAGGCAGGCAGATCAAACCTCAGACTTTTATGAGCATGGTTTCCAATCTGCTCTATGAGAGACGGTAACTGTCAAACAGCGTTTGCATGTCAGTGAAGGCTGTAGTTGTTGGGGTTGATCTGATTCTAGAGAGGTGGGAGGCTGAGGAGGGCTCCTGTAAAGACCACTTGTGGTATGGCAAAAGGAGACTTTAATCTAGCGACAATGTTATCTTCAACCTCCTTGCAAAAGAATATCGAGTATCGTTAAAATAATCCTGTAGCAGTACAAGTTTGTTCTGTTTGCCATGCTAAAACCATTGCAGGGCGCTTCTAGGTCGACCTGAAAGGTCCCCCACCAAAAGCGTCTGTGGGATGTTTTCCTTGCAGGGATGCTGACGTGGGGTGTGGGGCTGCGTCAAGGTGGTTGGACTGCTCTATGCCGTCTTGTTCTTCGCAGGTTTGGCCCTTACTACACAGAACCAGTCATTGCCGGGCTGGACCCCGTAACACACGAACCTTTCATCTGCTCTCTAGACCTGATCGGCTGCCCGATGATAACCGATGACTTTGTGGTCAGCGGCACCTGCTCCGAGCAGATGTACGGCATGTGCGAGTCCCTCTGGGAGCCCGACATGGTGAGTGAGGTGGCCGGGCTCAGCTCTGATCCGTGGGTGCAGCCTCCTGCTGGCAACTGGAGAAGCTGAGATAGGCGGGTTGGATGAAAAGCTCTGTCCTTTGGTACTTCCCGAAGGAGCTCAGGAGAACAAAGGGGCTGTAGCTTGCAGGAAAACTCTTGCAGCATCTTGGGTGATACTTTGGGTTTTGAATAAAATCCGATGACTCAACATTCAGTTTTTACACCAACTAAAAGAGCTTCTGTTCCTCAGGAACCCGATCACCTCTTTGAAACGATCTCGCAGGCCATGTTGAATGCAGTGGACAGAGATGCCTTATCTGGAATGGGCGTGGTAGTACACATCATGTAAGTGCTGCTCCCTTCCCCTACGGAACAGAGGCAGAATTCAACAAGCTGTGTGTTAAAGTCGGTTAAGGCATTGGCTTCCAGGGTATCCCTAATCCTGCTCCCTTCCAGCAGTATCCTTAGTAATGCTTTGTCCGTTTTAAGTGTTTTATTTCTCACGGCTGCTCTCTGTTGCAGTTTGTGGCTGTTGCTAGAACTGCAGGACCCATGGGAAATTAATCCTAGAGTTAGGCTCTTGCTGCATAGGGATTCCCTAGCTGCGTTCCCATCCGTATTTAGGAGTGTGACTCCTCACATAGGGGTAGCGCTGGCCACGAGGATGCTTTTTGCCACAGCTGGCTGCGACGTTAACGTCCAGACTCTGCCATCAGACTGACTTCTGAAGCAGCTTATTTTGCTCGTGGTGGCGTTTCCCTGCGGTGCCCCAGGCGCTGCTGCGTACTGAACCCACGGGAGCTCCCCTGGGCTGAAGCGGCGGGAGGATGGGGTCTGCTCACCTTCAGGTTCAGATGACCCTGCCTGCGCTAGCAAACAACCTGCCTATGCACACTGCAGCTCCCTAAGGAAGGGACGATCTGTACGCAGGTGTTAAACGCGGATTTACTAATAGTCTTCTCTCTTCCCCCTCTAGTGAAAAAGACAAGATCACCACCAGGACCCTGAAAGCTCGCATGGACTAGCCCAGCACGTCTGCTCGCGTGTTTCACACCCCAGTCTGCTTGGAACTTTTTTAAATAAAACTCTCTATTGTAGTGAATTTTCCTTTCCTTGCGTCTGAACGCTAGGATTAAGTGCTCGTCTCTGAAGCTCTCAGAAGGAGCCTGGGTTTTACACGGCAGCAGAGCTTACCTTTCTCCCTGAGCCACCCATGCTAATCTCCCTCAGTACACCCATGTGTGAGTGACTGGGCTTCAGCTGCACCCTAGGGAGTCAGCAGCACCGCCTCAGACACCATGGCAGTATTAACTTTTCCTGTCAAATCTAATGTGTTCTCATATCCAGGACTTGGTAAAATCAGTTCTTATTTAAACCCCCCATTTTACAGGCACGTATAAAAAGACTTTTCCAATTGTGGTTAATCTAGGACTGAAAATGACCACGTACCTCATGGAGCAACAGTTGATGGTTAGAGCACTTTAAAGAGGACAGCAGTAAGGAACAGATGTACACAAAGTTTTAATTTTATTTTTCTCTGGTTGGAGACTCATCTTGTAACATGCATGCATTTCAAAACAGTAACAGTGTCTCAAACTGCTCCTAGCAAACAGACAAGCACAGAGGACTTAAAACTCCTATTTAAAAAACAGCAGTGAAAAAACCTAGAATGCTTTTTTCTTTTTTTTTTTTTTTTTTAGTTTTAAACTTAATTTATTCACATTTTTTCAGTCGCACTGATTAGCCCTGCCCGCCCTTGTGACCTGTGTGTAATACGCTCACTCGACATGACTCAGGCCAGCTGCGCTGAGCATTGTGCAGCCGAAGACCGGCACAACTTCCGAGTGGTAAAAACCGAAACCGCTAAGAATGACGGATGCCCAGCAGTTGGTTCCCTGAGCTTTGCCATCGCTATTACACAAGAAATCAGTTCAAAGAGCAAGGAGAATCAGTAGTGGCTAATACGGATACTGGAGGATGGCTCTGCAGAAGTAAGGGAAGTTGCCAGGCGAACCTGAAACGGGGCGTTAAGACACAGACGGGGAGAGGATACCTGTTTGGATTTTGGAGCTATTTTAAGGACGATCTGTCTCAGATCGGTTACGCAGCATTGCGAACCAAGTTTAGGACAGACACACTGACTTGTGAAAGGTTTGTACCACCTCGAGGTTAAACACTTTGACCTCTGTGCAGCTTGAAGGGAGGCATCTTATAAAGACTGCATAGTAGTCACAGGACTGGGAGGCATCCGTCCGTCGAGGCCAAGACACAACCCCTACCAAACACCGCCCGTAACTACAATACAACCTTGCTTTGCGCCTTTCTCGGGCGAAGAGGCGAGTGCCCAGCTGACGTCCCCACTGAAGGTAGCTGTGGCAGCGCTCGGGAGGGGAAAGCAGGAGTTTCCTCCCAGAAAAGGAAAGACTCAAGTGTTTTAGCGTTCTTGCTGATTATGATAATCCGATTCAAAACAAGGATTCTCGGATGTGGGAGTACAGCCTCATTTATGCAGGAAATCTGGAGTCACCTACTACCCCAGAAGTTCTCCCTGTGATGAATTTCACGATCGTGGCTTTTATAATGAAAACCAGGTCAATCAGAGGCATGTGTGAGACCAGAGGGAAGGATCCCACCGCTCCTTGCTGTGAGAAGGGAACTCCTGCTGACATTCTTCTCACATACAGCAAATACCCTCTTCTAGCGCTGCCACCAAAGCTGACACAGAGCGCGGGTGCTGCCTGGTACCTCCAGAACACGCGGGTCCTACTAAAGGTGGCCCAACACGTTCTCGAGTGGTTTTTATTGCACTATTGGGGCAGAACAGCACCCAGACTGTGACTCCGCACTCTGCCTTCCCTCTCCTGCTCTTATTTACACTGTAGGAGCTATCTCAATGGGGAAGATGTAAGTTCTAGGTTCAAAGCAGTTTTTAGTTCTTAAATTTTGACAGATTAGGCTCGTGTTCAGAAAGAGAGAGACCCTCGGTACAGGCAGGACTACGGATCCTGCAGCTCGCTTCTCACACAAACTCACCCTGCCTTCGAGCACTGGAGACGCTGCACACTACATGGGTTTTTTTCCTTTCTGAAACTCCAGTTGACCAAAGAATTGCACTGCAGTTTCTTGAAATATCCTGCACTCTGACCAGGATCCGAGTGATCCGTCTACCTACTGCAACTCTTTCAGCCGAGGGTGGTTTTCAGTCAAATGCACTTCAGTGTAAAGTGTTCCGCAGGGTACATGCTACAGACAGAAATATCTACATTCAGCAAACTAGAACTAAATTCACACCAGAAACAGACAACAAACTAGCACAAGCAGTTGTAAAACCAGAATTGAAAGGGCTGGGTTTTCCTTTTAAATACTTGAGTTAAAAAAGTGACCTAAAACAAGATTAAAAAAAAACCCGAAACAAAACAACAAAAACAAAAACAAAAGAAAAAGTCCCTTTTAAAAACAAATCAAATATTTGCAGCTTCACTTCTTATTCTGGTAATAAAAATACTGTCTAGAAACAAAAATTAGCATTTTTAACGTAATGCTACCTCTCAAAATGTAAACAATATACAAAATGCTTATGTTAAACAAAGTTACATACCTGGGTAATACATCATTAAGTGAGAAAATTGCATTTAATTACTTTAATACACACAGTATGGCAACTTGACAGAAGTGGCAGAATTGGGGAAGTGCTAAAGTGAATAGAGTTTATGGGGCTTTTCATATCACTTGAGCCAGAGACAGCCAATTTAATTCTAGCAGGAGTTTCTCTGGAGTGGAATAAGAAAATACAGTTAACTGCTCTTAAGCCCTTAGTATCATGACTTCTGTAAAGACTGCTGCAGGAACTAACTGCATTTTAATTTCATTCCTGTTTAGGAAATTCAGTGAATGAGGCTGTTGCTCCTAGTTATGCAAGCTTCATTCTTCTACTTTCTTTGGGTTGTTTGTTTTGTAGCGTCTCATTGCAGGATGTCTGCAGTTCACTGATCTCCTTCTCTCTTCCTCCCCCCTTTTTCTCTTCTTTTTTTAATACGCGATTTAAAGATAAGCAGTTTCAAAGGTACAAGCTAGTTTCCCAAAAGGAGAATGGCAAACTTACCAGGCCAAAGTTGCAGATTCAATGCAGATTTTTAAAACTGTCAAGAATAAAAAGTGATTGGTGTTTAATTTCTAACTGATAGTAAACTTAAGTGCTTATTGTTTAAGAGAAAAGCAACCAATATAATGCCCACAAAACTAAGCTGATGATACCCTCTAAGTCCTCCCTTTTTTAAAGTATTCTCATAGCTGCATTTGTTTTGTGGCTTTTCCAGCTACACGCCTTAAGACGCGAGACTCTTCGGCCTCCCAGACAACGGTGTGTTAGCCCCCACATCACACAGCACAGGGACTGGACTACAGCGGCAGAAGAAATTTGTCCCATGTCAAAGGGAATGACCCATGAATGAATAAAAAGATTCATATCCCATTATGACCCCTAATATTAATTTTTGATTTCTTAAAGACTCTATTTACAGTGCACTCTTATGGGCTGAAACTTTAGCCCCCTTTTGTCCCCTTCAAAGTTGAGACCTGTGGGATTCACATCACGAATGTGGGTATGAACACAAAAAAACCCAAGCCCACATTCAGAATCCAGACCAGAGCTAGCGTTAGTCTAGGGAAATTACCAGGATGTGATGAGCACCAGTTATCTCTCAAAAGGACCAAATTCCACACAGCAAACTGTAGCACGTGTTACAGCACGGGACAGACATTCGAAACAGCTTTTTCCCGAAACAAAGGCATATGTGAAAACAGTTTCAAGGCAGATAAGCAACATGTTTCAACTGCAAGAGGTTTGTTCAAAACTCTAAATCCTGCTTAAAAAGAAAAAGAAAATTAAAAAAAGAACCAAAAGATCTGTAACTGTTGTGCAGCAGAGCTAACAAAACCCAAAGCAAGTCTGACAAGCTTGGCTGTGAAAAATATTACAAGCATTCTGGAGACAAAACAGGACGTTATTCAGTCACGCAAATCAGTTCCAATTCCTTAGGGGGGGGAAAATAATCTGGCGCAAGTGTTCAAACATTTCCACTCCTTGACTGTCGCTCTAGAGAGGGGCATGGAGCAGAGAAGAGTAAAAACAATCACAGCTCAAGTCCTGAGTCCTCTTGAGCAGTGGAACTTGCTCCACAGTCACAGCTCCCAGCACTCTCCACTGGTAGCGAGTCCAATTCCTTCGTGTGCAAGTCACATTGCCATTTAAAAAATAAACCAACTAACCAAAGAACCTCTGTCAGGAAACAAATTCAAGTACCTGTTGCGGATCGGGCAAGTAAGGAAGACTGAACATTAGCTAGATTAACACTGGCAGAACTGCGATGTGAAGCTGTAATCTAAGAGACACGGCAATTCCTGACTGAGGTGCGACAGGGAAACGTTCCAGATAGTCAAATACTATCCCGTATCTACAGGTACAAAATGCCTTTTTTTTTCTTTTACGAAATCTTCATAGCTGGCCAATTTAAAGCACAATGGGTCCGAGCACATTATTATCTGAGGTTGTTCAATGCCTCTACTACTTCTCACACTGGTTTTTTTTTTTAGGTTCTAGGAGTTACACCTTTTTAAGCGATCATCTTTGGTAGATGTTCATTTCCCTCGTCTTTCTTGTAAATCAAGTGCAGTTACAAAAAAAGTTTTTTGTTACTTAAATTAACCAAAACATATAAAGTGTCCCAGTCTGAATTTACCTAAAGTTCAGCGACTCCTCCTTATCAGAGTAATATTTTCCGTCCTTGAAATGGTGAGCTATTTTCCTTCCAATTCCTACCAAGAGGGAAATAAAAGGGCTTGTATGTCTTTCTGGTAAAGACAGTCCAATAAAAAAAAAGTAGTAGTTTGTGGAATCAGGCACTGCTTCACTCCCACTGAACGTGATCTAGAGCGACCCCTTTTATACAGTGCCACATATCATATCCCTATGGGATTCTCTTGATCAGAGAGGAGAAAATGTCATTAGAAAGAGCAGTGCTGAAACAATGCACTTTTCTTGTTTTAAAAAGCCCTCAAATCTATGTCTGGGCACTTCTGTAACATAAAAACCCACTTTTCCAC